AAACAAAGAAGGCAGAAGTCAGGGTTTCTGACCTAAGGTAGAGAGTCACTTGGTGTCTATTAAGAATGTTTGTGCAGCTAGTCCCAGAGAAGGCACCCTGTCAGCAGGAGGATGAGAAGTAGAACTGGTAATGTTAAGGGAAGTTAGACCTTATAAATACCTTTGTAACAAAAAGAGCTCTGGTGGCTCAGTGTAAGGCATTTGACTGCTAACCAAAGGTTGGCAGTTCAAACCCACCAGCTTCTCTGTGGAAGGAAGGTCGGGCAATCTACAATCTACTTCTGTAATGACTTACTGCCTTAGAAACCCAATGGGGGTCGCTATGAGTCGGGACTGACTTGAAGGCAGTGGGGAAAAAGCTAAGATAGGTATATATTAAGTTGTAGTACACATTCTGACTCCAAAATTATAATTTTACTTACTGGGGATTTCTACTGTGTTTCTACTCAAACCAAAACCAAACTCACTGCCATCAAGTTGATTCCAACTCATAGCGACCTCCTTTGGGTTTTCAAGGCAGTAAGTCTTTACAGAAGTAGATTGCCCAGTCTTCCTTCTGCAGAGTGGCTGGTGGGTTTGAACCACCAACCTTCTGGTTAGCAGTCAAATGCCTTAAGCACTATGTCACCAGATCGCCTTGCGTTTCTACTAGGTCTTTGTAAATTTTAACTAAGGTAGAGACTAAGTTTGTTAAGATAAGAAGACAGACTGCAGATGTGACAGGAAAGTAGCTCCTGACAGAATGCTTTGTTAAACAACTCTCAGAATGTAACAACTTCAGAATGCAACAGATGAGCTTATTAATGTTTAAGTTTACAGTTGAACAAATCCTTTGAAACTTTTGCCACGCTTCCTTCCTTTCCCTTATGTGCCTGCCTGCACTAATCCTTTGTTTACTGTACTTTCATAAACCCTATGTTAATCTTTTCCAAATTGGTGCAGACTATTCAGAGCATGAGCTTGGTCTGTCCCAGCTTGTGCACAAGTGATTAAACCTTTTGTTTTGTCCACGCAGTGTGATTTACTGGCTTCAGTTGCACCAGGGCTGGACCCTGTAGTAGTTAAATGTGTATGTCCAATTGGCTGGGCCTGGTTGAGTGGCTGGGCAGCTGGTGGTAGTTACTCCCCATGATGAGACTGGTAATCAACTCCATGGTGGGATCTACCACAAGCAGCTGAGTAGCTGCCTTTGGGATGTGGTCTGCTTCCTGTATGTAAGGAGAAGCCTTAGGGATAGTCTCTAGCTTATAGCACGCTTAGGCCCTGCATGTAGCTGTGTTGTTGTTCAAGCAGCCTGCCATGCTCTGCTGACCTTGGGACTTTCAATGGACTTGAGTGAATGGCCTGTCATGTGGTTGGTAAATCAGAACTGTGCCTTTTTACTTGTCAACCTTGGGCTTGTTAGCCTCAGCAGCCAGTAGCTGCCTGAGTGAAGAAAAGCCTCTAGCTTCAGTGGGCCGGGAGCAAAAGGCAGAGCTGAAGCCCAAGGTTGAGGGGCTTTCACACAGCCCCTAGACTTTGTTAAAGTCATCCCACTTGTGGTATATTCCTGTCAGAGTGGCACTAGGTAACTAGAGCAGATCCATTTTTGAGATAACAGTAAGTGCGTATAAAGTTCACTTTATAGAACTCTCTATCATTTGGCTGAAAGTTGAGCTACAAGGCTGAGTTCAGTTTCAGAATTAAAGGGTGTCTAAGAGCGATAGTCTTGGAGTTCTACTAGTCTCTACCAAAACAGTAGGGCTGGTCTTAAAAGTAAAGAGCTTTTATTGAGGGGTAAGGCAATTTGCAAATTGGGAATCACAGGGTCCAGAGGATTCTGAACCGAGGATTCTGAACCAAGTGATCCGAGGAGGAGACAGCTTAGAGAGCTTTTATAAGAAAATACAAGGAACTTCAATAAAACTGCAGTGGTTGGCTGACATTTAGATAATTGTTACCAAGTGAGATGCATGTGTCCTCGAAACAGTCATGAGACCCTCCTTGCATGACCGCAGGGAAGACATACATAATTCTGTGGTTTATCTTGAGTAAACATCTGTTTTGAGAATTGTTTTGGACCAAACAAACAGGATGTATTCTCCAGTAAGCAAAACCCTTAAGCAAAGAAAATCACATTCTTCTCCAGATGGGGTTTTGATCTCAGACTTAGCCTGGCCACCAGCTCAAATCGGGAGCCCTAAGTTAACTTGGGGTACTCTTTATGGAGTGCCATTGAAGGGTTGGGAGTAAAGAGATACCATCAAGCTACCAAGTTGGTTTTTTTTTCCTTTCTCCCCTGTCCCCACTACCCCCACCCCTACTAACCACTAGTTTTTTGGTTGGAAGTTGTCTTTAAAGACCTTTTTTTTTCTAGTTGCTGTTGAACTGATTCCAACTCATAGAGATGCTGAATAGGAATATCAGTAACAAACATCTTACTTTAAGGTTTTTCTTATCCTCAAAACCAAGTATTAACCATAAAAAGCCTGACCCCAACTGCAGAAGCCTGCCAGAAACTCCACACTGCAATGTACTTTTACCTTAGCCTGATAGAAAAAGGTAGCTGTCCAACCATTTAATTTAAATCTTAAAAAGCCTCCTGGCTGCAGGTGGGTGTTGGGCCAAATTACTAGCAATCAGGCCAGATCAGTGGATCTCAGTAAAGGGGGAAAGGAGGGTTCACTTAATCACATTAACATTAGCCAATGCCTGATCTTCTATAGTCCCCCATCTTCTTCATAAGCCCCATTGTACCTAGCTTCCTTGAGCCATAGAATTTTTCTGGAATCCAAATGGCCTCTATGCATAGAATAACTTCTTAGAATAAACCTTTTGTTCAAATTTCAGTCGATTTTGATTATTTTTCACAAGTGGAGAGCCCACGTGTGTCAGAGCAGAACTGTGCTCCACAGGGTTCTCCATGGCTGTGGTCTTTCAGAAGATCACCAGGACTTTCTTCCAAGGAGCCTCTGGGGGGGATTCCAACTGCCAACCTTTTGGTTAGTAGCTGAGTGCTTAACTATTTGCACCACCCAGGGTGCAGCATAAAACTGAAAGATACTACGAGTTAATCCAGCCTGTAAGAGTCTATGCCCTAGGTGCATGGGAGGCACAGACAACAAAGATGAACCCTTTTGCACATAGAGAACTGCATTGTCAGTGAAGGCAAACATGGATGTACAGGTGGATAGATGGGTGGACAGGCAGGGGGGAATGTGCCCAAGGCCATGTATAGGGTTGGCACACAATGGTTCTACAAGTGTATTGCTATGTTCTGTAAGAATTCCCAGGTATATAGTAGAGCTGACAAGCAACAATACTGTAGTCACTTCTTGGCCACAGCCAGCTACCCAGAGGGAGCAAGTAGTTGGACTTGTGGGCTCGGGACCATAGTCACAGGGGACCTCAAGCTCAACTGGTATAACATACTACACAAAACATTGTTCCACATCCTACTTTGTCGAGTAGCGACTGGGATCTTAAAAACTTGCAAGCAGCCATCTAGATATAACAATAGGTCTCTCCTCGTCCAGAGCAAAAGAGAATGAAGGAAACCAAAGATGCATGGAAACAATTAGTCCAAGGGACTGGTACACCATGTGATTCTCAGCCTATGCAACTATGAGACCAAAAGAACTATTTGGTGCCCAGCTACCACTGTCAACCACTCAGAGGGG